AGAAAGAGAGAAAGAAAGAAAGATTCCCAAATGACAGAAATCTTAAAAATTATAAAACTCTTCTATGCACGATATTTAAGTGCCAGGACTGTTACTAGAAATACTAATGCTAAATTGAACATATATGAGACCAAAACAGTTAAATTCATTGGATGATGGTTCCTCACAATCAATATTTTTTATTTATATCTTAAACTACTTGCTGCTACTGCACAGTATGATTATCATTGAAGGGACATTAAAGTTCACTGAAAATCACCCTCCCATGTCATTGGCAGGGACACCTTCCACTAGACAATGTTAAGCTCAAAGACCCATTCAACCTGGCCTTGAACACTTCCAGGAATGGGTCACCCACATCTCTCAATGTCTCACAACTGTTGTGGCAAGGAATTTCTTCCCAATATCCAAACTAAACATATACTTTCCAGGTTATAAAGCCATCAACACTTTTTCTATCATTATATGCCCTTGTGTAGCTCATCTCCCTTCTTCTGCTAGGCTGCCTTCAGATACCAGAGGGCTGCTATAATATTTCCCCAGAGTCTGCTCTTCTCCAGGCTGAGAAGATGCCCAGAGGACTCTGGCTTGATTACAGATCCCCTGTACTCACTGGGGGCTCAGACCATTATTCTTATTAGAATTGTTGTGTGATGCTCAGTCACTGTTTATTGTTTTTCATTGTGGTACAGGTAATAAATAGTTGATTGCTTTAATAAAGACACACTTAAAATGGTGAGAGCTAAATTTTAAAGCAAAATTAATTTAAGAAAGAATCCTAAACCTATGGTCAATTACCCCATCCTATATATTTATTGTAAATGACATTCCTTGTAGATGTTACAATTCATGAACCAAAGCCAAGTGATGTATACAACTTAAGACATATATTTTACCTGCTTACTGGAATATGCTATTATGGTTATAAAACAATAGTCTAAACATTAAAAACAATGGATTACATAATGAACTAATGAAGTGCTTTGATTTAAAGTAAAATGCATTTTAAGGAAATGATTTTGGGGGCTAGCTCAGCAAGACCTCAGAAATTGATTGCCAGCCTAGTTCTCTGGTTCAGAGACAAGTGAAGCAATTCAAGGGTGTCCTTCTGTGAAAATAGGTTACAGATCCTTCTGCACAACAGTTAACAACCAGCATCAGAAATGTGTGCAAATAAAATACTAGCCACTACAAGTTTGCCATCCATGAGTGGTAAGGCAACTCAGATTCATAGCAGTAGTTTTGCTGCTCTGCCTGTTAGAACAAACAGAAAAGAACAAGGAAAAATATTTTTTCGAACTAGTTTGTTTTAGTATTGGTACAAAGACTATTTCCCTGCCCTCAGGAGACAGCAAAAACTGTCAACAACTGAAATGCTTCAGAATTGTAAATTATCTGATTCACAAATATTTCTTTTCAAATAAAATTTAAAATGTAAGTCATGACTATAAAACAGATAGAGCTATTTAAAGATGAATGTATTATGCATACTAAAATATTGTCACAGATAACAATTGTGTCCTAAGCCTGTTTAAAAGTTCCTGGCAAAAAATTTGCACACAAATTGCACACATACATAAATTATATTCTCTTTTCAGATTAATTATACTCTTCCTTCTCATCAGCTCTACCAATTGATTTCCATAAGTCCTTAAAAAATTAAAAAAAGTCCTTAGTAATTGAAACTTTAAAATTGGAGTGACAAGAGTTATTTGCACTCCCTATTTTCTATAAAGCTTGCATATCAAGCCTTAATAACTTTATATTTAATTTTATTTCATATAAACCTAAATTTTAAAGGGGGAGGCAGAGAATCGGAGCCTCAAACTAAAGTATTTAGGCTTCTAAATTTTATATTGTCTTCTTACTTACTTATGACAACAACTGGAAAGAGAATGGATTAGAGTTAGCAGCTGTTTGACATTTGCACATACTCTTCCACTAAAGAAGAGGTCAAGGATGCCTTTCTGGTCCTGCCCTCACAAGCTGCAGCTTCCTTCAAGGCACATCCACCTGCTGTGGCATGGAGCCCTCCACGGGCTGCACTGTAGGTATGTGTTCCTCCACGGTTCTCCAGGGACTGCTGGGAGACAACCTGCTTGACTATGATGTCCTCCAGGGATTGCGGGGGATTCTCGGCTCTGTCAATTGGAGCACCTCCTCCTCCTTCTTGTCTCACCTTAGTATCACACAGTTGCTTCTCATACTCTCTTTTTCCTCACGTGTCACTGCCTATTCATATGTTTTGTGCTTTTAAAAATATATTTTCATGGAGACTGATGGGCTCAGTTGCAAAAATGTGTCTTGCTAGAAAATTACATGGTATACAAAACCATGGTTGTGTAGAAAAGAACAGTGGAAGTACAAATATACTGCTAAAGAACCAGAAAATTGACAATGCTTCATTGTAATATGAAGCCTTGTCATTTTGCCTTCTTTCTCCTTAAAATCTGCAAAGAATACTGGGCATAAGACAGTGCTGGTTCAAGGAGAAGATTTTTTTTTAGGATTATAGGGTGTGTGTTCAAATTTCTGTTGAGAAAAGGCACTTTGTCATACATGATAAATGTCATTACCCAGTATATTCTACAGAATATCACTAGTGACCAGCAACAGGAGATCAAAATCCAGTGAGACCAAGGAATATACCTTGAGTGGCCAGAACAGAAC